TATATATAGTAAGTACAAAGCAGACAGACTCTTGGTATATGGTTTGGGATAAAATTACGGTTATTTTATAAAATCTTATGTAGTGGTATTTTGATAAAAGAATGCATAGGATTATGTCACGGTTGCCTAACTTGTAAAACATATAGTGAGAATTTTCCTTGACAGTGTCATTAAAATATTCCACAGTGAGTTTTCTCTTTATTACTATAGGGACACGTCAAACTGGCTAAATTTGGGCTCTATCACATGACGGCTCATGGCGACGATGTTGACTTCCCAATAGGGTAAGGACGTGCTTTCTTCTGTTTCTTAAATTTTGTTGTCTGTGGTAACATGTATTTTGTTCGTCATTTTTGATACTGCTTTTTGACATGAAAACAGCTTTTGCTTACTGGTACATCTTGAGTTTTCATACACTTTATAATATAAACACTAGACACTGAGTTTGCCCGGTGTCCTCTAGGTCCCCAACGTGGATCTTTCATCGCATTGGCCGATGCTCGGAGTCTGTAGACGTTCTGTACCGCATGGTTCCTCCGAATTAGCTGTATTTCATTCAGAATTCAATCAGTGTGAGGCAAGAAGGCTGACCAGGTTCTCAGTTAATGGTGTTTATGCGTCAGCGGACTGGAAAGCATTGCTCTCGTGTTATCTTCACTTTCATGTGCGATGTTTAGTTCACCATTCTCTAAGATGTAATTGCATATTAAGACTCAAGCTGAGTCATTGTGGATATCGGAAGTAATGGCATAATTCCATGCCTGGAATTCTGTTTTGTTTTATAATTTCGGAGATGTTTATTTAATCACTATCGATACAGAATTCCAGATGTGTGTTCCCCTCCAAGAAAGGAGCAGAGTTTCATTTTATACTGTACTCTAGGTAGATGCTTTTGGTAAAGGTTTTTGTTTTATTTGTGGTGTGGCTGCTTTCAAACATTTTTATGATGTAATTCTTCTCTTTTCTGGCTATTTAAATTGATAGCATTGGAGGAACATAGAAGTTACTAAAATAGTAGAAAGAATTTCTATATGCTCTTCTTCATATTACCTGTATCTGCTTTATCTCTTTTTTCTCTGTGATTTTGTGTATATGTGTGTATTTTTTTCTGAATCCTGTAACTGTAATTAGCACACGTAGTTGTCCTTTACTCCTAAATACTTCAATTTGTATTTTTTAAAATAAAGTTTTCTTACTTAACTTCAAGAACCATTATCAAAAGTGGAAATTAGAATTAATACAATATTGCTATCTAACCCAGAGAACTTACTCGTATGTTTTCATTGTATTTTGGTTGTTTTTATTGGTATCCATTTGTGGTTTTGGCCTTTGGGCTTGCTGAAGTCAGTTTAGCGTACCATTACTGTGAGTTGTGAATGGGGTCAGAGAGCGTGCTTCTGAATCAAAGCGTTGTTTAAAAACGTGATCAGACTTTTTATAGGACTGAGCCCATGCCTAGTGGTTTAAGGGAGCCAGATCCCACATGAGTGACCATGGTTCGAATCCCAGCCCTTGTGGGTTAAAGAACATACAGCTGTGTGTGCGTGCTTGGCCAAAATCTTGACGAGCTGGAGAAGTGGAGAAGGGACCACGTTTCCTTGTGGGGTGTTTCCTTTTTCTCTCTCTGTCTCTGGGAATTAAAAATAAATAAATAAAAATAAAATAAAAAGCCTCATTATTAATTGCCCTTTCATCTTTATAACAGGTTATGGGTTTCTTGTGTAAAATTTTCATTAGTTAAGGTATACCTAATAATCTTGGAATGTATTCAGTGAGGGAATATTTATTGAGTCTTCCTATTGAACATACAAAAATGAGTAAGAAAGGTTTCTCTTTTTGAGAGGCTCATTATTAAATGGGAAATTTTTCTGTTTTTATGGCCTACTTATTAAGGTGCATAAATTAATCATCTTATAGCTTTGCATATCAGAAACTTGTAGGCAATAGACAATTCTCTTCATCAGCATGAGAATGATATTCGTTAAGATATTGGGTCGTCGGAAAAGTCGTGACATATTTTCCAATGTTTTTCAATGCAAAAATGCATTGTGACTTTCCCAATGACCTAATAGTTTACAATTTCTTGTTTGTTTCCAAATCTCCTTTTAGATATAGTAAGTTCTTAGTCAAGCTCCAGCTTTTTTGTCATTTGTGATAATTGCCTTTTGACGTGACTTTTAAAGAGCCATGGTAAATATGATTTCTGCTGCTTCTCCTTTGTGTCAAAATGAATTCATGTAAGGGAACCAGCAGTTAGCGTAATGGCTATGTCGCTGGACTCCCACGTAGTCGACCGCGGTTCGTGTCCCGGACCCGGTGGCTTAAAACTCACGCCGGGCGTGTGTGCGTGCGTGCCCAAGATCCCGAGAGGAGAATGGAGGAGAAGGGATTGCGGCGTGACCATCCCCCCTGGGGGGTGATTTCTCGCTTTCTGTCTCTCTGTCTGTCTGGCAAGCGCACGCGCCCTATAGCAAAAACCTCTCCAAAAAAAAAAAAAAATGAATTCATGTAAGAAATAAATCAAATAACATTATACAAGTTGAGCGTCCCAGTTCTGAAAATCCAAAATCTGAACTTTTTTGAGTGCCACATGATGCAACTAGAAAAACACTGTATGAAGCCACCTTCAGGCTACGTGTGTAATATGTGCATGAAACATAAATGAATCGAGTGCTTTGGCTGGGGTTCATCTCCGAGATATCTCACTACGCATATGCAATATTCTAAAGTCTGAAACACTTCTGGTCCCAAGCATTTTTGCTATGGGATATTCAACCCATTCAAGCAGAAATGACTTTGTTTTTTATTTTTATTTTAAAGTACTTTAGGTTTTAGTGATGAATAAAAGAAAGGAAGAAAGGAGGTGATTCTTCTTAAAGAATATCAAAGATTTTGAAGAACTGCACTTGAATTTAAAATAGTTGGATCAAATAGGTATTGTGTGCTGTTACCATTTGGTCTGGCGTACTTTGAAATCTGATACCAAAAGGGTCTTACCAGAAGGTATCAAAGAGCAAAATGTAGAACATTAGCCAGGAAAAATAAAGTGATCAAACAGCTAAGGCATGAAAGAAAATATTTACACCAAAAGAAGCTTACAGTTGAATCAAAAGACAAATATTAAGAAACAACAAAGTAAAATGTTACCATCTGTTTCAAAATATTATAAAGAGTTAGAAACTGGGCATTGGCCTCAGTCGGCTAGTAGCTTAATACCTTGTTAAAACATCAGACAGATGATGAAAGCCTCTTATCCATCTCATAGCCATACTCACGGCGAAGTTCTGGTCATTGTCTTTGAGTGTTAAAACGCTGTAGTAAAGAAGAGAAGATTGTTGAAAGAAGATGACTTACATTAAAGAGTAATTCTAGGGCTTATTTTTTTATTGTTATTAATGTCTGTCTTTGATTAAAAGGGAAAGTAGAGGGTTTTTTTGGAGCAAGGATTACCCCTAGGCTTCTGTCAGAAGTTTTTGATATAATAATTTGCCAATACTTTTGCTTAACTTTCCATTACCCGCACCATCACTTTGGGTTAGATGTGCTGGAAATCAGGAAAACAAACGAACATTTTGCCTTCTACGTATATCCTGGCAGTGATGACAAAAATATAAAATTGTATCTGAATCGCGTTTTTGACTTTTATAAGACATGTTTTTGTAGCCATGAATCTGTAAGAGCTTTGTGAGATAGGCATCGTTACCCTACCAAACTAGGAGTACTGCAGCTAGAGCGCAGGCACTATGTTGATATCTTGAGTCTACCTTCACCACGAGACTTTGAATGTAGGTTCTATTTCCTGATTCGATTGACTTGTATTCTACATGTGAATTAAAGTATGGCAATGATAGTATGAGGAGGTGGCGATGGAAAAAGACAGGATGAGGAGTGAAGTGACGCCTGAGTGCCTACTTTACATTGTGGCATTTTATATAAATGCATTTGATTGCAGTCATTACGGTGGGACGGCATTATCCAACCAGCTGAGCTGAAAACCCAGATTTCCCTGCTCGTGACTAAATATGACAACAAATGGAGAAAGTCTTACTTTCACCTCACCTCATATGAAAGATCAATTTGAGATGGATCAAAAATCTTAAATAGGAAAGGCTAAACTATCAAACTTTGGCAGATAATTTTGACAGAATCACCAAGCACAAGGAAAACCGTGAGTTCACTTGACTGAAAATAAGCATGTTTCGTTTATACACAGACACCATAAGGGAAGGAAAAGGCAGACCACAGAACAGCAGAAAGTATTTCAAGTCCTCATGATTAAAAGAGGAACGAGGACCCAGAATGATAAAGAATCTTTTAAAACAGTGAGCAGATCAATTGCAGAGAAAGGTTAACGTGGACGGCCTGAGGCTGCTCTCTTTAGAAACTAAGGGATGCTGCGAGGCTTGCCCTGGGTCAGGCCTGGGAGCTAGACTTGAGAAGTGTTTCCATAGTCTCTAACTGATAAGACAGGATTCGTCGCCCTGTTTGCTCAAATGGTGTGGTTTCCACTGGTCACTTCCTTTTTCGTAGAGGCCTTGAATTTTTCTACGTGTCAGGCAGGGAGTGCCCATTTGACTACTCCCCAATAAAACCTTGGACAATGAGTTGGCATGGGTTTCCCTGGCCAGAAACTCACACACACGCTCTGTTCCTGTTGCTTGAGGACCAGCGTTCTGTATGAGGATCCCTGCCAGGAGGGAGCGAGCATAAGGAAGCCTGCATGTGGTTCCTCGAGACTCCTCATCTTTCCCCTTCTGAGCCAGCTCTGTATCCTTACTGTATGGCTGTAATCAGTTTCAGCCATGATTCCCCCTGTATGCTGATTCCTGTGAGCCCTATTCTAGGAAGTGATCTCGGGACTTCGACACAACCCACTGGAGAACTGAGTAGAAGACTTGAATGGCCACGTCACACAGTGGTAAACCCAGATGGCTATTAACACATAAACACATGCCTCCGTCTCGTTCACTTTCAAGGAAATGCAGAGGAAAACACAATGAAGTGTAGCTCTCACTCTCCAGATGGTCAGACAGTAAAGTCCGTCAGAGACCGAGTGGTGAGGAGACCAGCGTGGGAACTGGCCCGCGGTGGCGCGTGGGTCGGCACAGCTCCTTCAGAAGATATTTGGCATGATGCCATTGAGTCGAAAATGCACATGTCCTGTGGTCTAGAAATTCAGTGCATGGTTCTTACCCCTGGAAGAAAGTTTTCGCAGATATACACCATGTATAATATTTTGTGTAACATTGTTTATAATATAAAAATCATGAGCCGATTTAAATTTAATTCACTATTTAATGGATAAATAAATTATATATTCATAAAATAGTAAAAATTAATGGCATACAACTACATACAACAATATAGGTATCTTCTGAACAAATGTTGATTGAAAAAGAAAGGAACATAGGCAACTCAATTTCAAAATTACATATTTCAGAAATATGTTTGACTGAACAACATATATATTTTTAAGGACAAAAATATATGGTCAACCTATAAAGAAATGGAAGGGAATGATATATACAAGAAGTCCAGATGTCTTTTCTTTTGATGGATAAACAGAGAGGGGCCTTAGCGATCGTTTGATGTTCTTCATCTAAACTACTTTTTAGTGTATGGGTATTCATTGAAGCTTTTTTTCTTTATGCCTTGGTATGATACATAAAAATTTAAAGGTACATACCTTGTGACTTTGTAGTTCCACTTTCAAGAATTTGTTTGTCATTGGTACATAAGTGTGTATGTATATATGTGTGTGTGTGTGTGTGTGTGTGTGTGTGTGTGTGTGTGAAAGAGAGAGAGAGAGAAATTATATATTCCAATGGAAATGGAGTATTTATATTAATTTCAGCATTGTTTGTAATAGCAAAAGAATGGAATTTCTAAAATGTGCTTTCTCAGAATTGGGTCAAAATCTTATTAAGCGCATCAATATAATGGAATTATTGGCAATTTTCAAAAAGGAGACCAAACTTATTTGTAAAGCATGTCCTCTAAAATATACTTGAGATGAGGAAAGTGGTATAGATAAGTGTGTATAATATTCTACTATGGGGCAGGGGGAAAGATGGACAAAGTTCTATGCATACAAACACGCGTGGAGGCCGAGTGAGGAGCGAGTCTCGTATTTCAGTTTGTGTATTTTTACAGATTTGACATTC